AATATGGTAGCTTGCTTGCGCCATGGGATAAAAAATAGAAATAGAAATAAATAAAAATAGAAAATAAAACTTTTTATCTCACAATTCTAACTTTTTTTACGCAATTTAGAAAAAAAAGTCATAATTGCAAGATGTAAACTCAGAATTCAAAGGGAGAAAAAAGTCAAAATTTTAAGATATAAACTTTTTTTTCTCTCACTCAATCTCGCATTACATTTTGCAAATCTGACTTTTTAAAATAATTTCAGAATTGCAAGATATAAACTCAGAACTGCAAGATATGAAGTCTGAATTGTGAGCTATAAACACAATCCTCAGAAGAAATTGAATTGTGAGAGGAAAAAAAAAGAGTCAGAATTATGAGATAAAAATGCGCAACATTTTATTTTATATATTTATTTTTATTCTGTGGCGGAAAAAATAACAGAATTTGGAAGCCTATTTCTGCCATGGGATAAAAAAAAAAAGTAACTGTGAAGGTAATTTTAAATGTAATTGAACAGTAATTTTATCTCACAATTTTAGGCTTTTTTTCTCAGAATCACAAGATATAAACCCATAATTGTGAGATAAAAAATGTCAGAATTTCAAGGTTTAAACTATCTCGTAAATCTGACTTTTTTTTCACAATTCTGTGAGAAAACCTCAGAAATCCAAGATAAAAATTCTGAATTATGAGACAAAGTCGCAATTATCTGATATTATATTTTTTAAATCCCGTGGCGGAAACAAGCTTCCATACAAATGTCATTCCGTACCTTTTAGAAGTGGGTCGCGCACTGAACTTTGCGGATGGGCTGCATGAGGGTGTCAGCACCCAAGTAGCCGTCAGTCTTCTTCCCAAGAGTTATGAAATCAGCTTCGTTGAGGCTATTGGGAGTGGAGCCGAGGTGCAGCTTAAACATGGAGGAGCGAGCGTGCTGCTCGGGAAGAGGGATGTAGATGCGCTTTTCAAACCTATAACCATGAGACGATAATAAACCAATGCCTATATAGACATTTCAAGACATGAAAATTTGTGTGGATTTGCATGACGCACCTTCTTCTGATGGCAGAATCCAGCATCCAGGGGATGTTCGTCTCTCCAAGGACCAGAATTCCTTCGTTGTCGTTTCCTATGCCTGCGAGAATGAGAAAATTAAAGGCGCTTTCAAGTTTTCCTTTCTCTTTGGAGTGTTACAAGCTGTTC